ATACACTACAGCTAGCAACATTGAACTCAGATAATGATACAACCACACTGGTAGCAGTCTTTCAAGTTGTTGTGATGTCCCTGCCTCTTGTTTACTTATTGTTTTACATTGGACAATACACTTGTTGTACAAAGCACTGCATTCAAAATAAGTTCAATGCAATAACAAGCCCAAGTGGTCATAATAACAATGATGATGAAGATGATGATGAACTACCTCAGCGATTGCTACCAGATTTTATTGAGTCTTATGATACATTCAACAAAAGTCAATAAATATCATCCACACACACATTATATATTTACACTTACATGCACTTTAGTAGGTAGCTTCTTCAAGCAGTGTGTTCTCAATAATAAATTAACTTTTAATGCTGTTTTACAATTTTTCCCTTACTTACATAGTTGTTTACATTTAATTTTTGAAATATTTTAAAATCAAACACAATAAGCAGAGTAAAAAATTAACATAGCCTTAAAATACAAAATAGTTCATTTAATAATATGAAAATGATGATAATGAGCAATACATCTAGTAATAACTAATAATAACCTTAATTGATTGTAAAAATTATGATCACATCACAAGCAATAATGATTTTATACTGATACTTAATTCATAGTTAAAGTTCGATTAAAATTTATTGGGTGGAACTAATTTTTGAAGATAAAATGAAATTTTTGTACATGATAGCTTTACATCTACATGTCAGCCTGTTCATATCCAAATGCAAATTTATTGCGTGAATATTGCCATAACTGTTAACAAAAGAACTGAAACCGAAGAAAGTAAGATATCAATAGGGTAACAGTTTTATTTTCAGAGCAACAATTCTTATAGTTTATAACAACAATGGTATTTATTATATAGAAATATCATGAGCAATAACATCTTGAATACTGTTTGTTGTTAGAGGGTCTATAGTGTTATCATTGTGATGCTCTCAGAAAGTGTCAACTGATATAGGGAAACTACTTTCCATAGGAACTGATTATAACTATAAGAATCTTTGCTCATTACTTTTGTCAAGCTTTTTTTTTAGTCCACAAGCTAACTCATTTGTGATGATTCTCCTGCTGTGTATTCTTCTTCATAGTGTATCATCTCTTAATATCAGGATTGATGGAGATAATGAAAATGATTCAATTGAGTGTCTTACAGAACAGCCTCAGTCTTCCTGTCAGTCATTGAAGTATGTAGCTGATACTATTAACAACACTGGTAACCTCACAATAGAGATCATCAGTCCTACTCTTAGTCTACAAGGTAGTGTTATATTCACTGATATCAATGGGCTAACTATTAATGGACAAGGTACTAGCATTAGCTGTAGGAATGGATCAATACCTTATGGTAACTCTGGTATGGTTTTTGATAATTGCAGTAATGTTAAGCTCAATAATTTTACTATTGAACACTGTGGGTATGAAAATGGACAAAAATATTACGGGCGTCAAAGTGTTCTTTTTTATAATTGCAAGAATTTTAGCATTTCAAGAGTCAACTTCAGTGACAATAATGGTCATGGTCTGGTACTCAATGACAGCAGTGATGGTAGTATTCAGCAAAATATTTTTACAAATAATGGTATAAAACATTCTGATTTTTTAAGAGCTGAAAAATCAAATGCAACTGGAGGAGGCTTACACATACTTCAATATAATCCTTATAATAATGTAATTGGAATTGATGCTAATCAGTTTATTAATAATTCTGCTACAACCATTGGTGGTGCATTGTATATGGACTTAAGTAGTTGTGCAAACTTACTTTTGTTCATCACCGCTTCTAATTTCCTTGGTAATAGAGCTGGTACTGCTGGTGGAGCCATTGGGTTTATAGTACATAAACTTAACTGCAATTATAATGGCACAAAACCTTTTGGATACCATATTTTTTTGTCTGGCTGCAGTATCACCAATAACAAAGCAAAGTTTGGTGGAGGAGTTGCAATCCAAATTGTTCATTATGAGGCTTCTAGTGATAGTAATACAAAAGGAATTTCTTTTGTGTTTTGTTATTTCACTGGTAACAAAGGTATGGTTAGCTCGGCAGTAGATATCAATGGTAGAAGTCAGAAAG